TAAAAAAGTCGGGAAGTGGGAAGTCACGGGAGGAGCTGGCTTTGGAGAAGAAGAAGGAGCTGGAGAGAAGACTGCAAGATGTCAGCGGGCAGCTCAACTCCTCCAAGAAGCCCCAGAAGACCAAGGGTGAGGTCCTGACATGTGCTGGAGCAGAGCAGGAGTAGAAGGCGGAGATGAGCTCTCTGACCCCCATTAAACTCTGTAGCTGTGGTGCTGAGAGGGCATTAGTGCAGCAGGAGAGAACAAGGCACTTTGGGAGCTGAGCAGATGCCTGCAGAGTGATATAGCAAAGGCTCTGAGTCTGTGTATCAGCAGGCTGTGACTTGGGATGTTTTGTCGTGTGGAAGTATCAGATTTCTCTTGCCTGAAAGATAGTTGAGAACAGCACTATCAAAATCACTGTGGGTCTGGTGAAAACGGATTCACTGAGTTGGGTCAATGTAAAATACACATTCAGTGTAAAATGCGTTTGCTCTGTTCACTGGACACGTCTAACCTGTGTTAACCTGTGTTAACTGTACCCCCCAGCAGAGAAGCCCAGCGCAGTGGAGCCCCACGCCATGGTGTCACGTCTCAGTGCCAGCAGTTCAAGCTCGGACTCTTCATCATAGTCATCCTCCTCATCCTCATCTGACACGAGTGACTCTGACTCTGGCTGAATTGTGGAAATGAGCGGGGCTGTGGCAGTAGAGGCTGGGCCTTGCAGGGTTTGGTCGTCCAGAAGCTCATTGGCCCAGACTGTGATGGGAGCCAGTGGCTGGTGGCCCAGGGTGGAGGGGGAGGGAACAGCACTCCTTCCCGACGGCAGTGACCTAAACCGAAAGAGGGGCGACTGAGACTGACTATTAGAGTGCAGGAATTCGCAGGACCAAGGAGGCTGTAACAAAGTCTGGCTGAAGAAATTCGCATTCCATTTTTTTCCCATGCTGTGTAAATATATGTACAAATATGTGTATATATTACAATCTTTCTTTTATAAAGAAGAATTTTAAGAAAATCCCCAAGGAGGGAGAGTAATGAATGAAAGGATGTTGATGGACTGTTTCTTTGCAAGATTTTTGTACGTAAAGTTTGGATTTTTGTTTATTTTGTTTTCCCCTCCCCTGCAGATGGAGGTTAGTCCTTAGATAGACCGATATCTCTATGGTGTCAGACACACAGATGCAGCCTCACCTGATCAGCTTCCCACTGCCTTGGGCTCTGGCTGGAGAAGAAGTGCAAGTCGGAAAGTTAAATCCCTTGTTTCTCCTTATCAGCATGATCTTAGGGGTTTAAACCGCTATAGGGATTTTGTCTACAGCATGTGTTTGGTACTGTACTGTGTCCAAGTCTCACTGAGAAGCTAGTAAAATGCAAACGGGTCCAACTGAACGGTAACGGAACCTGGTGCTTTCATCTTCCCGCCTGTCTGTCTGACATTAGCAGAGACCTGCTGTTCCTCTGTTGTTGCAGTGCTGAGGCTCAGACTGGGGGGGGGGTGTCAATGAGACCAGGACTCCTGCTGGAAGCCAGTGGAACGCAGAACCTGATTACATCAAACACACTGTACACATTTCTGCAGCTGTATCTGTTCTCAGCATGGTTCTACACGCAAGATTTCTCCCCTTTTTCATTTACCCTCACAGCACCGTGTGAGAACTTCATTCTTTTTTTATAGAATGACAGTTTGAGGCGACATCACATGTAACACTGTCAGACATCTGGTTCGACATGATCAGTCTCAAACATACCTTTCTTTTGAAAGTGTGTACATATTAAAAAGAATTAATCAGACTGCATGTGTGTCTGTGTGTGTGATTCAGATGTTCAGTACACAGCTTTTCCCAGGGATGACATCAAGTGGACCTGCGCTGTGTACAGAGGTAGTTCTGATTGGTGGATACATTCCCTTAATTATTTGTTTATAGTTGCATATTCATGTACAAACTCTACATGAGGCTCATCTTAGTACCAGCATGATTCTTGTTGTACTGGTGGATACTGAACCAAAGCCCATCTGACTCTGGATAACTGACATTTTAGTTTTTCTGCTGAAACGGTTCCATTGGTAGTTAAGCAGAGGCCTCCTTAAAAGACACACAAACCATCTCACTGGCCTCCATCTAAAGGAGCAGTGACTCTTTCACGGTCCTTCCGGATCTCCAGACTCCAGAACCTGACATGGAAGATCATTCTGGTAACCCTGCAGAGAAACCTCATTTCACTGGCTTATGTACACTGGTGTTTCCTGAAGGATAAACTGCAAACCTGGCAACACAATCATGTACTGTGGGAACCAAAACACAATGCAGTATCACTGCAATTTATAGAATTTTTTTTTAAATAATTTTGAAAGCCTGGTTAAAGGAAACTACAAAATCTATTTTGACCAACAAGACTAAAGAAACTGAAAATTGTGCTACATGATGACATTTGTACAAAAGAATTTGCATATACGTACTAAAACATTTGTAAATTTGTGTGAAGCAATGAGAAATGATGTTCTGCTGTGCAGAAGTGACATTATGGTGTGGGGATTATACTTGTTTTCCAAATGTTAACTCATTTGAGAAATGCTCCAAAGCAATAGAGAAAAACTGTAAACCTTGTCATACAGGTGCAATGGCCTTCAACTGGTCTCTTGTAGGCCACGATTAGAAAGTGTCGGTACTTTGATGACATGTGACAGGCTGCCCTCTAGTGGTCATAGAAGCACAGTGTTGGAATACTTCTTTCTGCCACTCGATTGATTTTTAGGCTTTACAAAGATTATTTATGCAAGCGGTCCTCCAACATGCAGGGATACAATTTCGGGATACAATTGGCACTCCAGCCACCGTAAAACAACTCACAACTGCTCAATATAAACAGGCACGACATTCTTCTGCTCCCTGTGGGAGGGGCTCTACTGCTGCTGCACGCACCATGAAGGGGATGGGGGAAAACCTTCGGGAGCCTCATCCCTGGACAAGTCGAAACTGTCGGAGAGCTAATAGGGTCAGGCCTGTTGGGGATCGGGGCTGGTGTGGTGCTGAGGCGTCGCCTGATGCATGGCGGCATGATCAAGCTGTTCCTGATGAGTTTGCATAGGGTTTGAGGGAGGAACTTGCAGACTTGGGTGCGACTTGGGTGCGACTGCTGACTCTAATGTGATGTATATGACCTTCTGTGATTAGACCCTGAAGGTTGCCGAGGGCTGTGTTGGTGTTGTCAGTGTTCCCAGAAGGAGGTGTTTACTGATCAGACGGCTCAGCAGCTACAGCGGGATCTTAATTTAATTAGTGACTGGGCTGAC